GGCCCGTCCCATGATGGAAATTTCTCGACGAAATCAGCGTACCAGGCTCTTGACGCTCACGGGCGATATCCGGACAGTATGTTGTGGAAACTAGTGTGGAGCATTGCAGTGCCGCAAAGGGTGCGTACCTTCTTATGGCTCGCGGTCAAGGAACGACTATTAACAAACGCCGAACGAGTAAGGAGACATATCTCGAGCTCGGAGTTGTGCGAGGACTGTGGCATAGCGGAGACGGTAATTCATGCTCTGAGGGACTGTCCCGGGACTGCGTGCCTCTGGACTTGCTTAATTCCGGCAGGGGAGCTCACAGATTTCTTCACAACCCCTTTTCGAGAATGGATGCACAATAATATTTCGGCAGGGCGAGTTGGGCCAATTCCGGACTGGAGTAATCTGTTTGCAATTACGGTATGGAACAACTGGAAATGGAGAAATGACCGAGTGTTTAATTCTCGGGTGAAACCTTGTGAAAGCCGACGGCTTGAGGTCCTCTCCATTGCGAATTCGTACGCAAGAGCATGTGAAGCTTTCAGAAAAGTCGGAGCTGAGGGATATGAGGTTCGCATGATTCATTGGATGCCACCGGATCCGGGATGGGTCAAAGTCAATACTGATGGAACGTTTAACAGCATACGGGCCTAAGCGGTGCGGGAGGTATCATGAGAGACGAGCGAGAAAAATGGATGGAGGGATTTAGTATGAATATCGGCTACAATACCATTACAGGAGCCAAGCTTTGGGGGGTGCTTCAAGGTCTTCAAATGGCTTGGGATCGAGGGGCCCGTAGAGTTGTAGCGGAAACCGATAGCCAATGCGTGACCGATATGCTCACTGGATCGGGCCAGAACTTCGAGGTGCATGATGGATTAGTTCGTGCGGTTAGAGAATTGGCCCAAAGGGATTGGCAGGTACGTATCCAACATGTGCACCGTGAGGCGAACTATGCAGCGGATTATTTGGCCGGGATCGCAGAGACAACCCCGTCGGGGGTACATCGGTTTTCGTCACCCCTCCTCGTCGAGTTTTAGCTAGTTATTAGGCCTTAGGCCTCCTTCTTTTGCACAAAAAAAAAAAGTTCATGATTAGTAATATTTGATCTACCATTTAATTTTTTTTTTTAAAAAAAAAATATATTTAAAGTCGTATTAAAGGTTAAAGAAATGTTTAAAATAAAAAAATTATTTAAACATTACTTAAATTTGTCGTTACTTTTCTTAGTCTTATACTATCTTATAATTAAATTAATATGAAAGGTTAAAAAATATCATTTTTAAGAAAAGTCTATATTTTATTTTGTTTGAGTTTTATATTTCAATGTTAGTTGAACAAATTTAGTTTTAACTAAAATATAGAGTTACTTCTAAAGTTATAAAATATGTATGGTAAAACATTGGTCCCAACCTGTACTATACGCGCTTTTGGAATTTTCAACCTATAACATTTTTTTTTTTTTGTAAATAGCAAAATAAATTTTCATAATTTGTATGCTTGCAAATTATGAAGTAGGAGAAGAGAGGAAAAAATGAGAAAAAGTCGCAGTATGCAAATTACCAGTCTCGACACAACAATAACACTACGAGGGGAAGGAAACCCCCCTCACTTGTAGCTCAGAGTCGATCGAAATCCAAGCCAGAAGAAGGCGCCAAAGGAAGACAAAGATGGTCGGGGTAAGCAGGTCGGTCCCAATGTCCCGAAGAGAAGGTTAGGCAGATCACCCAACCGTACTTCCCCTCAAGCCGAGGTCGTAGAAAATACACCGGAAGATGTAAATCTTCACCTCATACCGTCCGAATCATCCTCTGAGATGAGAATCCGTTGGATCTGCTCTAAAAATTTGTCACCAAAACCATTTCCATAACCCAACACCCTCTCTAACCTATCCCTATCCCACGTCCCATCAATCCACAAGTCTTACACCCGTAGGGAAGAGAAGTGAGTGTGCTCGAAAAAGGTCACTCACCAAACTACCACGCGTCCCAAAAGCTGACCTCACCCTCTCTAAAAGGGCCCCTCACCACACTTCATTTGGTTCGCTACCGGATCTCACACATCTTACGCGAGGGGAACCGACCCCGTGACTTCCTTGCCAACCTAGAAGCCTCCACTCCCCATAGGCTCACTTTCTGCCCTCACGAAGCCCCTCTCCGCCTTTGTATACTTGTGCGGACGGACCAACTTGGTTACCCATCGTAGTAGCCATTTTGTGGTTTTCATACTTTGGCCCACTTTGCGGTGCAGACTGTTCGGCTGGGCACCTATCATCCCAGATACATACTTTTCGTCTTGTTTGTTGTTTTTCCTTTTCACTTTTGATTTTGTTTTTGTTTGGATATGTGTAGATTTGTGATCTTTCAGGTATATACGAGTTGAGAATCAGACCTTAATCATTCACCCTTTTGGGGTGTTTCTTCGTTTAAAAAGAACATACCTTTGTGCTTTAAAAAAAATCTCCAAACTGTACCAGCCGAAACTCACCCCTAATTAATAGAAATATATAATTGCTTAATTATGAAACATACTAATACCATCTAAATATATACTATTATGTTAATTAATGCACCACCTAATACTTAAATGATACACAATATAATTAAAAACATACCTCTGTGATTACGTTTGTTTGTGCGTATTATCCAACAACGCGAGTGTGAACTAACACCCGTAGGTAAAAATTTATTTCATAATTATTGAAAGTGTATGATTGTCTAACTATTTGATACGATTTTGTTATGAAGCCAACAGTTGGCTCCATAATAGAGCCAATCTTCTATATACAACAAATAAACCTACTATATTCTCTGATTACTTAAATAACACTAATATAATTTTATTAATATAGTTGATTTATTTGTCGTATATTGAATGTTGGCTCTGCTATAGAGCCAATTGTTGACTTCATAGCAAAACCGCTATTCGATATACTATCGTAATACGAAAGTATTTTTTTCTAAAACATATACTATTATGTTAATTATAATTATAGCACCACCTACTACCTACACATAAATCATCATAATACAAAATACAATCAATTATAAAAGCACATTTTCCTTAGGTTTTGCCAATTTTATCTTCTCCTCCTTATCTTTCAACCAACATTTATTTCTAAACCACAACAAACCTTACCCATAATTTAGTACACGCAAGCTTTTAGCCCACCCACAATTTCTTATTCCCTTCATCATCCATAAGGTCTCTCTTCAATCCTCTCTCTCTCTCTCTCTCTCTACACACTCTCTCTCTATCCAATCACTTGGAGCAGCTTTGGGCTTTGGAAAAAACATCGTTGGCCAAGAAAACACGGCACACATCCCTTCTCATCTCGGATCTTGCACGAGGATCCGATTTGTAGCAATCAAGCAATTTATCAGTGATATTTATCGATTCCCCATTCTTTTTTTTTCTGTAATTGTTGCTAATTTTGTCTGGTTGCAATGACGAGGAGGTGCTCGCATTGCAGCCACAACGGGCACAATTCTCGGACCTGCCCGAATCGTGGGGTGAAGCTTTTTGGGGTCCGATTGACCGACGGGTCGATCCGGAAGAGTGCGAGTATGGGTAACTTGACCCATTACATGGGCGGCGGTGGTGGCGGCGGTAGTGGAAGCACGACCCCGCAAAACGGCGTCGCTCATGAGTCGCCGGGGGACACGCCGGACCACCCCTCCGCCGGTTCAGGCGCGGCCGACGGATATGCGTCCGAGGACTTCGTTGCTGGGTCCTCATCCAGCCGTGAGAGGAAGAAAGGTTTGTTTTTTTATCATTTTGTTTTGACGATATTCTCCACTTCATTAGTTTTTTTTCTTTTTGTTTTAATTATTTAATCTGGGTGCTGTGTTTTGTGTGACGTCACTGTGTGTTTATGCGTGAGGTTGCTGATGGATGGATGGATGGTTATGGTGTGCTTATCATTTGGATCTGATAAATTTCCATCTTCTCTGGAGATTCTGGATAAATTGGTCTTTAGCTCATGTTTTTCACGTGCCTCTGTAATTCTGTGCTGTCGTTGCAGCTGTTAGTTTTGCTGATGATGTTATTTTAAATGAATGTTTGGTACATTTGATGGAGGTTGTTTAAATTATGTTTGATATCCTGAGAGGATGAACTTTTCTGTACTGTCCAACACAGAGCCAAAAGGGTAAGAGGGAGGAAATAAAATCGAAAAACCGAATCAAGAAGGCAGTGTTTACGGTTTAACAAAAATTCTATGGCGGATGGTTT